CAAACCCGTCTGATCCCATTCTTATCTTCATTTTTTAGCATCACGGACGGGTGGTCGCGCCACACGCCGTGACTGCTTTTCGTCTCGGCAATCTCCGGCAACGATGATGGCGGCCCTGGCAGCCAACGGCAACCGTGCTAGTACTCATAATTTACGAGTCGTAAGGATCATGCCTTCTCCACAATGACATTGAAAGAGGAACAGCATACATGAAAAGTAAAAGGAGTGTCATAAAGACTCGATAAGCCTGCAGTCCCAACGTCGCCATCCCAAGGCGCGGCACAGCCTGGGACTTCCTGTGATAAACTGATCTGGATGCGGCAAAAATGTGCTTCAATCGAACACAGCCGATATCCACATATGACTACGTCGACGGCGCACAGCTCTTGATTTCCAAACCCATCCACACACCAGAGCGACCGGGTGTCATAGGCGCCATAACGATCGTTGGCTTGCGCTCAATCTGGGTCTGAGGCGGGAGCGCGAACTCGAAGTTCTCGATCACTATCGCAGCAATGGCTTGCATCTCGAGCACTGAGAACCTCCAACCTTCGAGTCGTGTTAGCGAATCACCTGTGCTATATGGGCTGTACTGCTTACCGATGCAACCACGGATTCCGGCCGCTAAGGGCATTAGTCAGTAAGAAGAACGATGAGACTCGCGCGAGGAAAACATACAAAAGTTCAGTAGATTCGCATATAGCCCGACACTGGTCGTGCCAGGCTTTCCTACCATGAATCTATCCGGGTTCCAAGAGTCCGCATCGATGCCCCAAACATCAGGGTTACTGTGATGTCGGTTAGAACGTGATCGCTGAAGCCGCGAACGGGGACAACGTCAACGTACCGGTTGTAGGCGCAGATGGATATCTCAACGTTTTGCCCCTTGCGTATCGGGATGGATGCTATCTGTTCTCCTGATCTCGATATGATCGGTGTCGCGAGTGGGATCACATCGTCGGCTTCTGCCGTGCGTGAAAGCTGCCATACAATAGGATGAAGGCGCATAGACTCCTTCAGGGTGGCATGCATGACAGACATGCTATCAAAGTCACCGACAGAAAATTCGACATCGCCTCGCTGGGCGACCAGCCGGCGGACCGCACGTATTTCTTCCCGCACACGTTGTTGCCACTCCGGCTGGCGTGCCATCTCATAGAACCACCATGTTAAGCTACTGGCGGTTGTCTCCTACGCACGTTGTCTTTAGCACCAAGTCAAAGTGATCCATACTGTGTGTACTCACATGACCTGCCAGAAGGAGCACGCTGGTCACAATGCGGATCAGCATCAGATGCAAAGGCAGTTTAGGTCAGCCTACGAGATCTGGTCGACGGCTTCCGCGTCGCTCAGCTTGAGTTTGACTTCTTCGGCTTCGTTCGCACGCAACAGGATACTCATGATATCCTTGCCGGTACCCTTTACGTTCCGTGCTTGAGCCTGAACCATAAGTTTGCGTCCGTATGCGCTGACGAATTCTTGGTAGTGCCGGAAACGCCTGTACTCTTGACCAGGCAGATACCGAAGATACCAGGACGCGCTGGGAGGCAGAAAGTTCCATAAATAGCGGAAGGCTAGATCCCATCGCGGCGGATAAAGAGTTGATGCACTGAGATGGAGGCTTCAGCTCGTGATCTCAGGAGACTGAAAGGATACACGTACTATAAATTGTGGTAAGCGTTGCTAAGGTCGCTTTGGGCGTTGTCTAAGGAGTTGAACTCGAAACCGAAGCCCGCTGTACATCCAATTCTATTAGATTCAATGAGAGATTAGAGCAGGGTCTGGACGCACAGTCTCCGATAATATCCAGGGTTGTGCGAGAAAGCCATTTATGCACGTCCAAGACACGTTCCTGACCAGCTTCTTCTTCCCTCCACTTTTGCACTAGCTGTGTTGAAGAAACACTCAGCGACTGGTGCCGCAACTCCAACGACTAAGTATAGGTGGTCTACCTTTTGTGCGTAGCGTTGAAAGAGAGGGATGAAGGATTTGAGTTGAGGAACAGAGAACGCAGGGTTCATAATCTTGCGCTGCCGCTGATGTTGTTCGCCTGAGCGAGAACATGAGCCTCCCCAGGCTTTCAGGATTGAGAGCGGGCAGCATGCTTACCGTGTGCCCAGACTACCCCATCACCAGTTCTCATACGCTGATGTGCACGAACATCGGCCCGCTTGGGGTAACGGTAGCTAGACGTCTGTAAGACGTACTGCAAGGCCTTCGGGTCTGCGAGCATCAGTCTCTCATCCTGGAACGAAGGGGTCAGACCGATGCGAGTGCCAATATGAGACGTTCACGTGCGCCTAAAGGTCCATGAACCTTCCACGCGCCACCATACTCGCGGAGCCAGGGGAACTCCACGTTGCCGACTTCATTCTGGTACCGAATGTCGCTCTCATTACCTGGAAGTGCGTCAGTCGGATGTTGCCGGTCACTGATATAATCGTGAACACATACCCAGCAGGAGAGACGATCGAGCAGGACCGCGTATATCAGCCAGCGCAGTGTTTCGGGCTCGGATCACGACCCTCAACACATACGCGACAATCACCGCGAGGCTCGCATACAGCTGCCAGTTGCCACTGAGGCCCATGGCGTGTGTTTGCTCACAGGCTCCATGAATCGCCCTCAGTTCTTATACGCCATGGTCTTAGCCTGCTTCATACATGTGCCGGGCGCATACGTCGGTATGTATAGCTACCGCGGCGAACAGAGAGAGTTCGTAGTCGAGATATCCCCGGTTGTGTCTCTCGGGAAGCACTCGCGGTACTACTTATCGCCCTCGTCAGACCGCACATGGTGGGTTACCACTGTGAAGATGTATAGAGGCATGCACGCGCACATCGTTTAAGAGTGAGCAGTAGTAAAAGCATGGTGGTTCAAGGGCGTGCGGTATCGCGAACAGCTCGTCCAGGGTTCGCACAAGGGTGACGAGTGTTCCTGCGGGGCGCCCAAGGCTTCGGACTGTATCATGAGTTACAGTTCGCGGTCCGATCGGAGTGAGGGAGATGTAGTACGTTGAGAGAGTGACGAACGAAGACCTTATGAAAGACTTCTGAGGTGGCCGGGTGTGCTTGACGTCTAGACGTCATACTGAGCTCGAGGAGTCGAGGCTGGGAACACGTTGCCGACAAGCGAGCTCGGAGGTAGATGTATTATTTTGCTGGAGAGTCCCGCAGTCAGGGGGACTAGTACTCAGTACTAAGACCCCGCGGGGATAGATAGTCGCATGCAACTCGCATGCCCAGGGAATGGCTAGCGGATGACAAGGTCGCCGCTGGTGAAGGAACAAGCTTCCGGTGACTCAGCAACGAGCTGAATGACCGGCGTCGGCCGATTGTTGCCGAAATGCCGAACTCGCGCGCTCAACTATCCGCTGATCCACATCAGAACCATAATTATAGATACAGACATCAGATAATGACAGCGGCTATGATGATACGTTACAAGCTCAACAATGACATATAATACCTACAGTACAGCTACTCGCCTTACGTCCCATGCCGCTGCTTTCGTAAAACGCGCCTCGTATCATGCTTCGTCTCTCCGCCGGTCCGAAACCCATAGCCTGCTTGCTCATCTTTCTCAGCTTGAGGTGCTTCGCCGTCAGCAGCGATAGACGAAGCTCCCGTACTCGTAGAGGGCCTTTCCCGCGTATCCGGTGAAGCAGTCTGGCCAGGAGTGCCAAATGCGGGTGAGGCTTGTCCACTTTCAAGCTCGCCGTCGTGCTTCTCTTCTTCCAACACCCTGAGCGCGTCCTCCTTCAAGCGCCTTTTCCTGTCCTCAACCGTTAACTTGAGCTCTTCCCATCGACGCAGTACATCCGTTCTCTGGATCGATGTACTCTGCCGCGCAGCCTTCACGCCTTCTTTGCGGCGTGTCTCCGTGATCATGCGCATACACGACGCCTTTCGCACGCGGCCAGAAGAGGACCCTGACATGAACGCGCCTCGCAGTGGACTTGCGACAACACCGAGGAGACCGGCAGCAGGACGTATGGTTGCATTGACCACTATATCCAAGATCAGCCACTGTGGAATTGCGAATATAACAGTACTTACAGCCTCGTGCCGTGCCTTTGGCTGCTCCCGCAAAGCCCTGTACATTTGCCAATCAGATTGGCTCCCTCACTGGATTCTGCGTTTCGCCGCGTACCTCCTTCTTAGCCCCTTGCCATGGCTCTTTGACGATCCCAGCAATGCCGTCGTAGGTGCCGTAGAAAAGATCCTTCGGTGAGTAGTCAGCCTATTGCGGAAGCAAGGGCGAAACACCGATCACGCACCTTTCCCGCCTTCACCATGCCGCTTTTGAAATCTGTGACATCCCCGGTATCTCGCACCTCGGAGCCATAGAGCGCTGGTACGTTCACGAAGCCCTCGTGCACTCCCACAATTATCTTCATGAAGCCCTTGGGGATAGCGACTGCGGTGTTGATCGCGCCCTTCTTGGGGTCACTACCAAGGGGTTAATGTAAGCGCCCGGATTTCAATCTCGAATAGCGGCAAAACGTACTAGAAGAGTTGAGCTAGGCTACTTGACATGTGCGTGACCGTCCAGAAGACCGCGGAGGAGCCACCAGAGACGGGGTCGGAGATATTGCGCGAAGAAGTGTACTCCTTTGGACCTGGTGGCAGCGATGTGTCAGGAGGACGTCCGCGGTGTGCAACTACGAAAAGCATACGGTGGGGTTCAAGGTCTTTGGGACGTAGCTCTCGGGCATCAATGAGAGTCTTCGCGGCGAATGCGCTCAACTTGACACACTGTGAAGGGTTGAGCACTGTGTATGCGAACCTCAAAGATTGGCACTGACATGTTTTGTACACCACCATACAGCGACACGTGACGGTTCCACATCGCAGCTACAAACTATGAGCACGGCGAAGCGAATCGGCAGGAGTGACGATGCGCCTCACCGCATGTTGAGCAATGGTAGATGCCTGTAGAACGACATAACGCCGTCATGCACGCCGTCTTCAGCCCGGATCTGCTCGCCCATTCGCTCCGCGGCCGCCCTTGCGCCGTCCGTCATACAGAACGTCAGCGCCTCGGCTAACCTCTCCACATTCAGCTTCTTGTGTGGGATTGGTGCGGGTCCTGCGCCTCCTCTATGGACCATCTCGCCTGTGCAGAAGCCAAGGTCAAAGCTTATCGTACGAAAGGCTCAGGAATTATGCGTACCCCAGAAGGGCTGGTCTCCGAAGAAGGGTACGATGATGGTCGGCTTTCCCGCGTAGAGCCCAGCTGCGGTGGTCCCAGCGCCGCCATGGTGACATACGGCTGCAACACGCGTGAAAAGCCAGTCGTGTGGTATGCTGATGTTTCCCACGATGAAGACGTTGTCCGGTATGGGAGTACTGCTCGACAACCCTCCCCAGCCGGCAGAGATGAGGGCACGGACGTTACTCTGAGCGACTGCAGCGAGGATGGTGTCTGGTAGGAAGTCAGTGTATGGCAACAGACAGTGGGCGGAACAAACGCACCTGTCATGCCTGCTGGATCATCGACCACGACAGAACCGAAGCTACGATGAACGTTCAGTATTGATCTGCGGGAACGGAACCATTTGCCTACCCAATGTACACGGGCGGTGGGCCTGCAGCCAAGAACGCCGCGAGCTCTTCCGGAGGTTGGTAATTCGTGTCCTGCTTGAGGAAGTAGAACCCGACCATGTCTGTCATGAGCATCATTCAGAGCTCCAATCTAATATGAAGGACATACTCGACGCACCGATATGGTTTCTCCAATCGTCCGGCTTGCTGACAAGAGACGGGCTCAGGCAGTAGGTCCATGGGATCTTCAGCCTGTCGACCAGGCCTGGTCCAGAGCGAAGCGATAGCTTCTGTATGCCCAACGAGCGGTCTCGCCAATGGTTGATGATATCGCCCAGTCTGTGCAGTTGTCGTGAGCAGTGTGAGCACGCGTTCAGCAAAGGGCGAGACATACCCTTGCCATGTCATCATGTCCGCGAGCGCGTAAGAAAGATAGTTCGTTAGACCCTGTTGCGCGTTCGATTGACTGATGTTGACGAGCGGATGAGGAAATGCAGTTGTAGGGCACCTAGATGCGCGTGAATCTTCGTTTGGTTGGTAGGGATTCCAGAACATTCATACCAGGGCATGGCTAGAGTGGGCCTTAATCAGTCTGAACATACGTCAGAGTCAGGACGCAAGACGCACTGAAGCTTAATAGAAGGGGGAGACCGAGTGCTTCGGCGCAATGAACATGGGCGAATGCTGGCGGGTTAGAGATGATCGCATCCGCAGCAAAAGGCTCGTTCGTGCTCTCATCAGCCTCATAACAAGCCTTCCAGCAGCCTTCAAGCATCTGAGAAGAGTGAGATGAGCACCTGGTCGACATATCAAGACCCGACACGCACCTCCCCAAGCATCCTTCTTTTCTTGCCAATGTCGCCGTTGCGAAGCGACTCCATCCCAGGTATCAAGCCCGGGTCTACATGCATGCGTCAACGCGATGAGCGAGGAGATATCAGGAGCGTGGACGAACTTTTGACCATATAGCTCATCAGCTCGTGCGGGTTACCACCGATGCTAAAGAACTCAAGTCCAGCATCACGCACGAACTTGTCGAAGGTAGCATGTGTTGCAATACGAACGCGATGTCCATCCGCTTTCAATCGTTGGCCAAGCGCAATGAACGGCTGGACGTCGCCTGCGCCACAACCCAACATCAATATTCGCCGCGACGCGTCTGGACTCTAAACACGCACCTCGGCTGCCAACAATCATGATGACTATACTCAAAGCAGGAACTTCGGTATAGTCCCTATAGTCAACAGCAAACTCCCGTACATCCTGCGCGTAGTCGGCAGGGAGTTCGGGAAGCTTCCTCTGGAGCTTGAGCGACACGGCGATGCGACCATCGTCCTGCACGCGCGCGTGGGAAGCGAGTCCTGTACCCGACGCGGCGTATTCGGAGTACTCGAGCTCTGGCGTCTCGGGAAGGCTGACAGGGTTGTGTAGGGCATACGGTGGAGGGGACAAATAGGAGCCCGAGTCCGAGCGGGCATAATCGAGCGAGACGCCATCCGAGTCCGACTGGCCGCTGGGACCCGCCTGATATTCGTCGTATGATAGATGCGATGGGGCCCTGCGTCTGGAAGACATTGAAGTAAGAGGGCAACAGTTGGGAAGAGTTGATATCGGTGCGGAATATTGCTGTGTGTGCTTTAAACCTTATACAGGATCGGTGTATGCACCGTTGACTGTTACACGTCGGTCAGCGGTGACCGCACCGAGGCGGTGAAGGATCGGCAGCAGTGCGCTCGGACATGCGCGAAGGGAATCGGACATCAAAGGATGCATTTTCAATTCAGTCGGCGCAGTAATGCCTCTGTGCCACAGTGCCACAGGTCCAAAGATGATGGTGGTAGGAGCCCACCCCCACGTCGTGCCTATAAGTAGTTGCTCACGCGATTCGTGTTGCGTAAACATGACCAAAGAACGCGTTCCGCGACCAGCGTCGACGGTTTGCTCTTTCTCTCTTGGTTTAAACGTCGACCTCTGCACCCTGGCGAGTCCTCTGTAGCACGGCAGTATGTGACTCCCGCACATGCTGATCCAAAAGCGGGCAACGCCGAAAGCCGACGGCAACGAAGCACTGCAATACTTCGCGGCGCTCAGAGTGACTTTGATCGGAGATCGCGATGGGCAGGACATACTGCTAGTGCAGTACCCGTCTGCAAAAGCAGAACGCACCTCTCTTCGACCGTAAACTCAGGCTATCGTGATGCTCTCCAAAGTTATTACATACGTCGAAGTCGCCAGGTTCTGCGAAGGCTGGTTTCGCGGATTCAAGTTCTCTAATACACGAATTGATCCTGAGACAAGTTTACCCGTCGCTGTCTATATCAACAGCAGCGCCCGGTGGGACGCCCTACTGCCGCCTGGTATCGCTCGCTGATAGGCAAGCCGACGGGGGGCGGGGCCTAGGATGCTACGACGGACGCTGATGAAAGGCTACGAGAGGGGCTTGGCAAGTCGGAAGCGCTTGGGTCGTTGACGGACGCTACATTAATCACCCATAGCTATTGCTAAAACATCTTCTTGGTATGGACCACGAGTCACAGCGTACTTTAAAATCCAAGTTATATTGTCACATGCGCGCGACCCTACACGGAGCCCTATCTTGGTTGAAACGACCATCACGAAGCACCGCAATACTTCACTTTCAACCCCATCCATATGCCCATATGCCCATCCGCCATAGGGGCCATAAGACCCGACGGCTTGCGCCTGATGATGTTCTCCTCCGTCTGCTCAGGCAAGGCGAACTCGAAGCTCTCAAGGAGCGTAGCGGCGATGGCCTGCATCTCGATGACGCTGAACCTCCATCCCATGCATGCCTTTACGCCCGCAGCTACAAGACGACTGTCAGCTAAGCCGCGCGCATATGCTTGGGGGGATCGACCCACAGAAGTTTAAGAGGTTCGCGTATACGCCCACGGATGTCGTGCCAGCCTTGGTAGCGTTCATGAACCGCTCAGGGTTCCATTCGTTGGCGTCCGCGCCCCAAACGTCGGGGTTCCTATACACAACGAGTCATGGTGAGATGATACACAACCTCCCAGTATCTCACGCGGCTCACCGATTATAAGCAGCGATATGGATATCGATGGCCTGGCCTTTCCGTATCGGGATAGACGTGATCTCCTGGCCTGACTTCGTCGTAATGGGCGAGGCAAGTGGAATGACATCGTCTTGTCCAGCGAGTCGTCCCGCTTGCCAGATGATAGGGTGCAACCGCATCGCCTCCTTGAGTGTGGCTTGCATGACCGACATATCCTCGAGGTCGGTCATGGTGAACTCCTCGTCGCCGCGCTCGATGACTCTGCGGCGCCCGACGCGGATCTCGTCGCGGACGCGGATCTGCCAGTCGGGGTGGCGAGATAGCTCGTAGAACCACCAAGTCAGGGAGCTCGCCGTCGTGTCCTATCCATGCACTAGTGAGCAACAAGTTGCTTCGAGCAATGTAGGATACTCACATGGCCTGCTAATAGTATAGTACTGTGTAAGTTAAGTCGTCAGCGATTAACCCCTGTGCAAAGCGTGCGGGAAAGCGCGTATACTTACGAAATCTGATCCACAACTTCAATCTCGGTCAACTTGAGCCTAGGATTCTCCGCCTCATTCGCGCGCATGAGCACGCTCATAGCGTCTTTGCTCGTCCCCGCCTTGTCCACTTGCGTGCGTGCAATGAGCTTGCGCCCGTAGTCGCGCACGAAGTCCTGATAGTGGCGGAAGCGGCGGAAACCACGGCCCGGCAGGTAGCGGAGGTACCAGAGGACGCCAGGCGGGAAGAACTTCCATAGAGCACGGAATGCGAGGTCCCATGCGCTTGGATAGAGCGTTGTGTCAACGCTGCGGGTATGTGTCAGTGAATTGGGCTCATGAGGTTGACTAGAGACGGCGCACAACAGGTTCTCGTAGACGTGGGTCAGCTCATTGGAGGACCCATCAAGCACGCCGAATTGCAGTCCAAAGCCCACTGCATCGCTGTCGTCAGACGTGCGCCACAGCCGATAAAAGACAAGACGGACTTACCGTCGGCGATAGCGTCGAGGGTCGTGCGCGACAGCCACGTGTGAATATTGAAAGCGGCTTCCTGATTATTGCCGAGTTCTTGTTCCTTTATCTTCTGCACCAGCTACACACAAGGGCGCACATCAGATGGGTGCCCCCGAGATAGTGAATGAAGACGCAGACCCAATGTACATACCTTGTTTGCGTAGCGCAAGAAGTGGGGGAGAAACGACTTGAGTTGTGGCACCGAAAACGCGGGGTTCATGACCTTCTTTTGCCGCTGATGTTGCTCTCCTGCGCGCTCGACTGTCAGACTCCTTGGAGCTGAGCTTACAGAGGCTGAAAAGCGTACCGTGAGCCCAAGCTACGCCGTCGCCGAGCACCATGCGCACGTCCGCGCGGATCTCGGGGCGCTGTGGGAAGCGGTAGCCGGACGTTTGCAGGACGTACTGCAGTGCTTTGGGATCGGCAAGCATAAGACGCTCCTCCTGCAATGATGTGAGCATATGATCATAGATAAGTAAACAGGGTCCCGGAAGAGAAACGTACGCCGAGAGGAGCATGGATCTTCCATGCGCCACCGAACTCGCGCAACCACCCGAACTCGACGTCTCCAACTTCAGCCTGATACCGAATGTCGCCCATGTTACCTAGAGTCAAATCTCGTGAGGTGTCGAACTCGGTTATAGTGGTGAAAAATACGCACCCAGTAGGAAGGACGAGCGTGGAGGGCCGCGGATATCCTTCAGCGTCGAACTACGGAAGAAACGGTATGCAAGTGCCGTCAAGAGCAGTACTCCCCCCGCCGTAACGAGATAAAACTGAGAAGGCGAGTGTTCCATGGTTGGGACGATGATGAGGTTTGCTTCGTCGATGGCCGCGTCCTATATACATGCTGGCGGGACCCGTACACGGTCGCTGATGCTAAGCGAAGCGAGATGAAGCAGACACCATCGTTTTGCGCCGTCTTGGGGTTCGCTGAGCATATCGCCGAGGCTCAACAGGATAACCGAAACTATGCACTGAAGAAAGTGGCTTGTGCGTGCTTGCGGGCGCCGCCGAGAATAATCCATGTTTGACGAAAGAGCTGATGTATTGGAGCGGCTCGCGGCTTGAGGAGAAAGGTGTTGACAAGCATGAATCACGGATGCATAGTAAGTTCGACTTCAAATCGCTCTGGAAGCTGGTATTGAATTGGCCCGAACTCCAGTTTTCGCGTAAGAAACATCAGTTATCGGCGCCGGGAGGGAAGAGATATGAGTAACGCACCGAAAAGCGCAATTATGATTGTCACGCCGCGTCGGGTGGCAATCCGAAGACGAGATACACATATACTCACGCTGCGTTGAACCGTCTGGTATCACCTTGCACGTAACCTCAGTAACGAAAGCTGCTGTATGCCTGGAACGATAGGCGGATGACGTCGTCAGCCCGATTGCTGATCGTGAAGAGTTTGCGGCGTACGCGGCACGTACCTACTCTTCGATTATGCACGAGAGGGTATATGCGGATGTCGCCCTCGCTCGCCACTTGCTGCAGACGTTTAGACGTCGGGCCTGGACATCCCCCTCATGGCAGCGTGCAGGCGTATTGTGTCATCGCCGGTGCACGCGGCAAGTAGTCGGCCAGATGGAAGGGCACGACCACAGCGCGACCCTGTGGTCAAATGAAGCAATCTTGTCCCCGACACAGCTACGCGCCCACGGGGACCTACATTCCTGTACCTGTGGAAGGTCTAGGAGATGACGAAGCTCGGGAAAGAGTACTGCGTCGTTGACGTGTACCAGCAGCTTCTACGCGCACGTTCATTGCAGCCGCTGGCCGCCTCCCTTGACACTTCCTTTCCGAGATTGTAGGCTGAGAGGCCGCAGATAGTCGCCGTCTTCGCTTCAGGGGACGGGCAGGCGCAGTAATGGGTTCGCTCCAAGGACATGCACCATCTCGTAGATCGCGAATGATCCTTCCGACGATATGGACGAAAATGTGGACTAGTAGAGCACAGGTGACGGGGCTCGAGTCGACAAGGGTCCTGGGTCGTGTGTATCTGGGTCGCAGGGCAGGGCGCCTTGCGGTATCGTGCAGGCCACACTCAAATGGTACGAGATAGGAATAGGCGCGGGCGTTACATACCCACACGGGACGCCGTACATACACACTGGTCGTACTCTGCCAGCAGCGTTACACCTCAATAGCCGCCGCGAGGCATAGTCCGCGATAGACAAAAGCGAACGAGAGGCCTGGAAGAGGCAAGTGGAGGTCGAAGGTCTGCCGGAAAGTCCCGGTTGATGGCAGCGCGCCTCGCGTCTTTCACGAGGCGTTGGTGATATACGCAGCGTGCTTGATTTTGCAGCACCCTCTGCTCTTCCTCCTCCCTCCTGTCCCCTTTCTCTATTATTTTACGATGGAACCGGCCCGGCAGTTGTTCTCGCGCGGCGCGAGTCCTACGCCGAGCGTTTCGTTGTCCAGCTTTGCAGCGGCCGATGTGGACCCCGCCGTGCATCACTCTCCGGCTGCCTCGATTCGCAGCCACGGCGCGGGAGGCAGCGTGGGCCAGGCGAGCGGCCCTGCGACGTCCCCCCAGAGCAGAGTCGAGGCGTTGTTCGCGAACATGACGCCGCCCAACGCGCCGCCGACGACCAACTCGACGATGACGAATGTGTCGAACAATGTAGGAAATAATAACGCGAACCACTCTGGCGCGGGTACGCCGGTCAGCGTCGCGAACCAGTCCGTGCACTCGGCCACTTCAGACTCAAACTCTCGCGCGAACGCTCTGCTTTCCCTCTTGTCTCCTGGTCCCGCGCCCGTGCCTCTGCAGCAGGCGACGCCACCCCAGCCTCCTGCGCCGGAGAATGCCGGGCGCATGCTGCTCGAGCAGCTCATGGGCGGCTCTGGTGGCGCGCGCACGTTTGTTCCGCCTGCTGTGACGGGTCTGGCGGCGCACTACCCGCCATCGCCGTATCCACCGATGAGCGGCAACTACTACGACCCTCCCCCGCCCATCCCGTCTGTCCCCCAGCCAGAGCCGGTCCAGAGCCCGCCATCGCCACCGAAGAGCATGTTCGATTTCGTGTCGCCCTTTGACGCCCTCGGTCCCGCACCCGCAAGCGCTGGCAGCAACAAGGTTTCACCAGAGCCGCCGGTATCTGCTGGCATCACCAGCAGTCTGACCGACGCGCCGCCGGCATGGGCCGATCCGAAGCGGAAGAGCGTCGATAACCTGCTCGAGCAGCTCACGCGTTCCACCGTTCCCCCGGCGCCCATTCCCCCGGTTCAGCAGGACGATGCCGAGGCACAGCTCGCGACGGCCAACAAGTCCCAGAGCCAGGGCCGCCCGCTCCCGCCCAAGCCACAGGGCCAGCAGGGTTCGCCTCGCGTCACGCAGATCCACGCGCAAGGTTCGCCGCGCGCATCCCCACCCAAGCAGTCTGCCATCGCACGCGCGAGGCAGGTAGAGAGCCCGTCCGGACCCGCTGGTTCCCAGCGCGAGAAGGACGAATCGCCCGGCCCGCGCGGGCAAGGCTGGAAGAGCCGCGGCAAAAAGTCAACCGCTGCCGCTGTCACTTCTAGCACCATTACCAATGCCGTTCCCGCCAATGTCGGGCAGAGTTTGACGCTCGACATGGCGCTTCCGCTCGAGGAGATTCGCGTGCCGGATGGGAGCAGCGCGACGGTCCCGATCGCGCTTGTCAAGATGGACGAGGCGTTCGCGCCTGGTACCACCATCGGCGCTACGGCATGGATCGCGTATGCGATGTCTAAGGGCCGTGTCAGGATCATCTCGAGGGCCAGCGGCGAGCGCACGCTTCTCCAGCTGCCCGAGTGCTTCAACTACCCGACCAACATTGTAGATGTTGCTGTTCATGGCCACCGCATTGCCGTCGTCACTCAGGACGGCGGCTTGGTTGTGTGGGAGATGCCCGAGATCATTGCCGACGACGTGCCGTGAGTGGCTTCTTTCTCCCATGCTCAAAACAGTAGTCTAATGCATTTCTCTATCTAGTGGCCGCATCATCGTCTGCGTTCTCCCTCAGACAGGTCCCGACTCGCTCCGTCTTGTCAAGTGGCACAGCCACGACCCCGACACACTGGCCGTTGCCTCGTCTCGCTCAGTCTACACCCTTCACGTCCCCGAGCTTGATCGTCTCTATGGTGGCCAGCTCGTTGAGCAGGGCGAGCTTGCACGTGCGATCCCACCCCTGTACGCGACCGAGCATACTCCCGCCGACCCGATCCCGAAGATCGCGGCTTTGGAGTTCGCAGCGGCCCACTCGGCGCTCGCAGTTCTCCTCGACGAGGGCACGCTCTCGTACTATGCGCACCACCCCCCATCGCGTGGCGGCCCTTCGAGTACCGTACCGACGCCCTTCCACACTACGCGCATTCCTCCGCCGGCGTCTGTGGGCTCTGGTGCCGCGCCGTGCAGTTTGACGGCAGCAGGTGTTGCACTCGTTCTTGGACGCGCACAGAACACCTCGCTTCAGATCCTCGGCGCACCGGGCCGTGGAGTACTCGCGACCATCCGCTTCACGCTCCCCGCTGAGCCCGCATCCTTTGTGCGCCTTTCCTTTGAGCCGCGCGCACGCGTGCTCTGGGCAGCACACTCGAAGCGCGCTGGTCTTTGGGCCATTCGTCTGGGTGCCGCTGTCGATAACGAAGGGTACGGATTCGGCGGAGAGGCTGGTGCCATCGTTCAGGTTGCCGAGTTCCCGGTCAAGACGCCCGTGCTGGATCTGGTTGCGCTGGCCCCGCCCGAAGGCGAGAACGCCGAGGCGGCGGCTGCGTGCCACGCTGCCAAGGTAAGCGCGCGCCTCTTCTCCCGCCATCTCGATATGGTATACTGATTTCCTTACTTGTTTAGGTCCCGCCCGGCCCGGTCGCGCTCGTCGCGTTCGTCCAGCACGTCACAGGCGTGGACCAGGTCGTCATCCGCGGCGACTGGTGGGCCGCCGCTCTCGCCGGCACCCGTGAGAAGCTCCCCTACACCTCTTCCTCGGCGCCTTCCGGTCCGGCTCCGCTCGGCTCGAGCACCATGTCGAGCCAGCCGGTAAACGCGCCTTTGCCACCGCCCGTTCAGGCACAGGTGTCATTGCAGAACGCGCCCGTTCAGCAGACGCCTACGCGTGAGACTCGCCGCGAGCGCGTAGAGAGGGAGAGGGTCGAGAGGGAGATGGCGCACATCGCTCAGCCTTCGCCCGTCGGTGCACCTGCGCGCGTACGCACGCCCGAAGATGAGCCCGAAGCTGCACCCGCACAGTCATCGTCATCGACGCAGCAAGATGGGCCGCGTGGTCGTGGCGGAAAGGGCAAGGGCGTCGCGAAGTCGGAGAAGGAGAGGAAGGAGGACAAGGATAAGGATAGCGGGAAGGAGAACAGCGAGTTGAGTAAGGAGTTGAAGAAGCTGGAGGAGGCGTTGCATCTGAGGGTGGCAAGGCATGTTACGAGGGAGTTGGAGAGGCAGCATGCGTGGCTTGCGGATGTCAGGGCTGCTGATAAGGACGATGCGATGCGGTACCAGAGCATGGTGAGTCCGCGCTCCGGATCTGTACAGTTTATGGCATGTACTGACCAGCTTGGTGCAGCTTCTCGACGCTGTCAGCAACGAGTTGACGAAGAACACCACGGCGCTCTTCGATACGGCCGTCCGCGCCGAGGTCCGCAACGGTGTACTGCCGCTGCTTGAGGATGTCGTGCGTGCCGAGGTCGCACGGGGTGTAGGCAAGCAGGTTGCAGCGGGCGTGAGCGACTCGGTCAACAAGACGCTCCCGCCGGAGATCGAGCGCTTGCTCGTCCGTCCGGACGTCTCGGCCCATGTCGCGCGCACCTTCTCGCAGGCAGTGACCCCACTTGTCGAGCGTCATGTCAAGGACGCGATCACACACACCCTCGTCCCAGCCTACACCGCTCAGACTTCTGCTCTGCACGATGCGCTTGCGCGTGAGATGCAGGCCGAGATGCTGGCTCTCCGCAAAGAGGTCATCGCTTGGCAGTCTGACGCTCTTCGCGCACACGAGGGCGCTCTTCGCGAGCTCGAGGGCACTGTTCGCGCTTTGTCCGACCAGATCCGCGCTTTGGCGCCTCTGCAGCGTCCCCCGCCTCAGCAGACGCAGCAGCAGCAGCAGTACGCGCCTCCGTCGCAGCCCCCGCCACCACAGCATGGTCAGCCGCAGTACGCGCCCCCGCCCCCACCTCAGCAGTTGCACCAGCAGTACGGCCCGCCACAACAGATGCAGATGCAGCCGGCGTGGTTCCCACCGCAGACGAGCCTGCCTGCACCACAGGCGAGCCACCCTGCGGTACCGCCGCCCGCACATCACAGCCCGACCCTCGCATCTGCCATTGGACAGGCGCCTGACCCCGACGGGTGGGACGAGACGTACATGAACGTTCTTCAGGCCCAGGACGCGCGTGCTCTGCGCGAGTTGTTGGCGCGTTCCCCGCCCGACGCGCTTATGCCGCTGTCCCCCAACGCCCCGTCCCCTCTGAGCCAAGTCGTGCTCCTCTCCCTCGTTCACCGTCTCGCGACGGGCTTGAACGAGATGGCACCCGAGTCTGAGTCATTCCAGGGTAACCTCTGGTGGCTCCGTCGTGCCGCGGGCAAGCTCAACGCGGAGGATGTCACCATCAAGCCGTACGCTGCGCGCGTGCTGCCCGGTGTCCAGAGTGGATTGGGTGTTCTGAGGAACAGGCTTGGGTTGTTGCCGCCTGGTGTGGGTGTGCAGGATGCCGCGAGGGCCGTCGGAGAGGTCGCGGATTTGATTGGGAGGAAGGTTCAGTGAGCGCGCGAGCGCTGACCGATAACGTCGTGTCGTCGTCCTCAAGTTTTCATCGCCGATCTTCTATGTCCGCCTCTCGTCTCGATAGGGACTTTCGAATCATGCTTCCTCCACCTTTCTCCGCACATGCGCGCCGTCCGCTCTCTCGCCCGCTTCATGCTCCTCTCCGCCTTCTTGCTTGCCACGAACATTGATTGAACACTGTATCGCGTTTCGGTCTCCCTCCCTCTCGCCGCCTATGCGCACCCTGTCTCTCCCTCACTCTCCGCATCTACGCCTTTCGACATCTACACATCATAAAAATATAAACAACCGTCTTGCGCCAGGACGCCCGTAGGCCGCTCGCGAGCCGAGCGCTTCCTACAACCCCCACGGACGTGCCCTCGCCCGAGCGGCTGACGGGCTCTCCCCACCCTCGCGCAACGCGGTTCGCCTCGCGCCCTCGCCCCAGCGGCTGAACGGGCCCTTACGACTTCGCCAATGAAACGACCTTGCTTTTTTACGATCTAACGACCCCTACCTCGCTTGATGCTCGACGGACGGCCTCGATGGACGGATGGACGGGTGCGGGACGGAGCCCTCGCTCGATGCTGATGGGTTCTGAGTCCTGAGCTCGTTTGTTGTTATCGTGTCTCTGGGCCTGGTGCTCTGCTCTGCCTTGTGGTATATTGTAGCTTTGCGTACCGTGTTTCGGGACGTCGTTTACGCGTGCTTCTTGTCGATGTTGTTGTGTCATTCATGTGTTTGAATAATCTCATTTTCTTCTCTCCCTCACACACTGTGCGATTCAGTTTAGAGTCTCAGATGTCAAGGCGTATCTCGTGCTTTGGGAGTCGCGGTGCCCTAAGAAAATGGCACACGGCCGCTCACTAAGTATGCCGAGAGCAAAATGTACAGCCAGCAGAGATGGCGTGGGAAGTTGTTCATATTGAGTCGGTGATGCGCCCGTGTGCCGCGGCTTTGCCTGTTCGCTCATGACTTCGACGACTACTGCAACAAAGCACTATACTGCGACCACGCAGGCAAATGATACCTCTTGGAGCCTCAGCTCTCGTGGGAGGAACGTCACTACTTCTCGATGCAATGGGAATATCTGAGCAAAAGTCGGCTTCTGACCAAGGGCCGAGGCGTTCAAGGCACCCAACGAACTCCCTTCTCATGCGGCGATGTTCCATCCGACGTAGCATGCTTAGTTCTCCGGGATGCCTGGTTTGCTGATGGTCGACGCCATCGGGGGCCTCTTATCGAGGGTCGTCGCCACATCATATCATCTCTGCTTTGCATATCGCGACTACGCACTATATAAAAGCGCGTGCTCGATGACCCTGGCGAGGAAAGCGGGCACCCATGGCGTTCGAGTTTACAGAGGCCAAGCAGTTGTATGGGATCGCGGCCGGCGCGGTTGTGCTGGTCGTTGCGGCTGTGGTCCGCTTGTCGAGCAGTTCGCTGAAAGATATCCGCGGACCTGCACCGTCTTCGTTCTGGTTGGGTAAGCTCCAATCTACCTACTGCGGGATGTTTGGATCTGACGCGCACACAGGCAACCAGGGTGACATTCTGTACCAGTCCGAAGTCGGCGATGTCGATTTCAAGTGGCTGGAAGAGTACGGCGGGATCGTGAAGACGTACGGACCGCTGGGAGTGCGTGATCTTCGCGTTCTCATCCCAGGACGTTCAAGTTGATGGCGCCGTAGACGACGCGTCTCATGGTCTCCGATCCGAAGGCCCTGCAATATATCTTGCAGACATCCGGTTACCGGTATCCAAAACGCCATGACGCGCGTGCTGTCCTGCGCATGATTGTTGGACATGGAATCGGCGGCACAAATGGTACGTGAATGCGAGCGCTCAGATTGAGTCTGATTTCTGACACTGACGCCACTCCGCAGGTGAACAGCACCAGCGCGTCCGGAAGATCATGAGCCCTGCTTTCTCTGGACCACAACTCCAGTCCTTCCTCCCGCTCTTCTTGCGCTACTCCGAAGACGTGCGCTGCAATGACTTCCGTGTGAGGCTTGTCTATTGATCGTATGACTGACAGCTCGTCCAAAAATGGAAGGAAGAGGAGATCACCGCTGAAACTGGTCCGGAGCCGGTGATCAATGTTCACAGATGGCTCTCGCGCGCGACGCTTGATATCATCGGCGATGGTAAGCTGGGTTGCAATTGTGGCCATGGGGTAAGCGCGGACTGAGGGACATCCTAGCCGGCTTTGGCTTCAAGTTTGACGCCCTGAACAACAATCACAATGACCTGCGCACGGTCTATGCTAACCTATTGTATGTTGTCCCCAGATATCGCCCTTACTTGCAGCTCACATCGTACAGCGTCGACTCCACCCTCTACCCATACCCCTTGGACATCATCTTCCGCATCTTTTGGAAGTACCTCCCAATGAGCGCCCTCTGGTATCTCCGATACCTTCCACGCCGCGAGTACTACCGTTTCCGAACCTACCTGGACGCCATCCGTGGGTATGTGCGCACAAAGCTGTCGACAGAGTTGGACGCCAAAGGCGCAGGGAAGGAGGACCTCTTGAGTGCACTGCGTCGTGCCAATGAGGCTGAGGGAGCCAAAACAAAGATCACGGACGTCGAACTCTTTGATCAGGTATCGTACGTCCACAACCCTCTTGCTTAACCCCATCCGGTATCTAATCTATGTGGTTAGCAATATCATGTTAGCGGGCCATGTGAGTACACATCCCCAGATGCATTCTCGTACCAGCTGTTCATCGTACCGCTTACAGGACACGACCGCGTCCACACTGACGTTCTGGCTCTGGGAACTTGCGCAAAACACGGAGTGGCAGACGCGCGTGCGGCAGGAAGTTCGGGCCGCGCGTCGCAAGATCGCCGAACGTGGCGAGTCACAGTGGGCCATCGCAGACTATGAGGGCTTGACCGTTATGCGCGCTACTCTGAACGAAGCTATGCGTCTGCACCCTATCGTGTGGATTCTCGCGCGTGAGGCTGGCCAGGACGACGTAATCCCGCTGGCAAATCCCATCACGACGAAGTCGGGCCAGAAAGTCTCGTCGGTCACGGTGCGCAAAGGTCAGGGTGTCGATGTTTGCATTCACACGTACAACCGGTTCGTTACCTTACTCATGTTCAACGATTGTACATGTTCTGAGAGCGCATCTACAGTAACACAGACGTATGGGGTCCTGATGCCAACGAATGGAACCCCGACCGGTTTATTAAGACGGATAAGGACAGCGCAGTCCCGCTCGGATTACACGCGAACTTGCTCAACTTCTGTACGTGCATCTTATTCCTCGGATCTCTTGTAGCTACTGACCTTGATTGGTAGCTGGCGGCATTCGTGGCTGCATCGGCTTCCGTTTCGCGTGAGTCCGATGTTCCCACTGCCTAGGCACTGCTAATACTGTACCCAGGCTCCTCGAGATGCAAGCCATTGCTGCGACACTCATTGAGAAATTCGAGTTCGCCCTCCCTCCTCAGAAGGACGAGAACCTCATCAGGCGCCGCCCTACGCTGCTGATGGTACCCATGGCGGATGGCCATCCTGGAATCTGGATGGGATTGAAGGTGAAGGTCGCGGAACCTTGACTCTGTAACTCTGTGTAGTATACGATACTTCAGTCTCCAACATGATCAACATGACCTAGCCTCCCTTGCAGGCTTTTCAGTAACCTTTTTGGCGGCGGGAGGGAGGACGGTCAATAAACATGACCGTCCTCGCTTGAGAGGTGTTTACTGTCTCAAGTACGATATCCGCCTTCACTTCAGCCTAGTACATCGTTAGCGCTGTGACAGTTTACTGAGCGGGCGAGAATCACCGGTCGAGAATTACAATCAATATTCCCACCGGTTATGGCCGGCCCGAGGTTCCCAGCCCTCAATTCGAACATGCTGCGCGAGGTTGTCCGCGACACTGATGGGAATGCGGTCTGTCTCCTCGAGAGCTCACCGTATGCGGTTCATAATCTCACCTGTTTATACGATCCCATCAAACGCAAGGATATGCTAGCAGTCATCGTGCTTGCAGACACCAGCCGGCGCGCGAACTACTCGGTCGTATTATTACTGCGTTACTCTTGCTTTCCGCAACGTTTCCGGTAACCTCTTGTAGGCTGGCCTGTGTCCACTGTTCGCGTTCAGACGTCAGCTGACGCTGAACGAGCTTCGTGTGGTAACACGATCTTGACTCCATTCGTGGTTCGCCTCACTCCTATTTGATCGTGAGCGTTCACTGACGAAGGGCATCGCACAGATGACTGTACAACTCAATGGTACTTGGTGATGACCATTACCTCTACGGCGCCGAGTGTCAACACGCTTTAGCATGTGGGGTGCTGTGATTGGTCGCACACCATGCGTTGATGCCGACAGTCATACTCAATAGCCGAGCTCAAGAAGGTACGGCGGTATCCCTATCATATTCTGGTGCCCGACAATGCCTACAGCGCGATTGCTTACATCGCCATCTCCACTTTCAGAAACGATGCACAATCGACCTGACTTGTTCGGGGGCCGCAAGCGCCGTTCGTGGTGGACTATGCGTCGACTATAATGAGGTCGTAGTCTGTATCAGTGAAGAGGGCAGATCGTGC